TGAAGGGTCAGTTACAGTGCCAGATAGGTGGCAATACCTTGCAGGGCCGAGGCAAGGTTCTTTAGAAATATGTATATGCTCTGAATCAGCATCTAATGTGTTAGGTTATTAAGTAGGAAATGTCTGATTTCCTCAAGTACTAAGTTTGACAGTGGATATCTCTGACATTTCACTTTGACACTTCTTGTTTTATGTTTATTGTGAAGGTATGTCCTCAGTCTTTCAAATACACGTTTTGGCTTGTGATTATCTGCCAAATTTTTATTTAGAGCAATTTTTATGAAAACATAGATAAGTCAAATATTTTGTTATTTTCGAATATGAGTTCTGTTGTGGAACTAATGCAGTGCAGACAGCTTGAAATACCAATGAAGTGTTTGGGAAGGATGTGGCTAATGAACGTACGGTATGTCAATGGTTTGAGAGGTTCCATTTTGGTGATTTTAATCTTGAAAATGAGCCATGTAGGCAACCTGAGACCAAGGTGGATGATGATGAGCTGAAAGCTTTAGTGGAAGTGAATCCATTTCAACCTACATGGTGAATTAGCAGCAAGGCTTGACGTTACTATTCTAAGAATATTGGACCATTTAAAACAAATTGGCAAGGCAAAGAAGCTGGATAGATGGGTGCCACATGAATTAAATGAGCTTCAGAAGAGAAATCGTCACGAGGCTTGCCTTTCTTTGCTATCACAACATGACATAAAGGCAAACCTTTTCTACACCGTATTGTTATGTGTGATGAAAAATGGATTTTTTTTAACAATCATAAGCATTTGGCACAATGGCCTGATATAGATGAATTGCTGAAACATAGTCCAAAACTGAATATTTAATAAAAAAAAGCTAATGGTGTCTATTTGGTGGTCCAGTGCTGGTATTATCCACTACAGCTTCATGAAACCCAGTTAATCGATTACAGTGGGTATCTACTGCAACCAACTGGATGCAATGATGAGGATGCTTGTGATTAAGCAGCTGAGATTGGTCAACAGAGACAGCCCGATCCTCTTGCAAGACAACACTTGACCATGTGTCACACAAACAACGCTGCTCAAACTACAGAGGCTGGACTTGGAAACTCTCTGTCATCCACTGTACTCACCAGACCTTGCACCAACTGATTAACCACTTCTTCCAGGCTTTGGACCACTTCTTGTAAGGAAAAATACTCCATTCTCAACAAGCTGTGGAAAATGCCGTTTGCAATTTCATCACCACTAGCTCTCCAGGCTTCTTCAGTGCTGGCATAAACAAGCTACCGTTAAGATGTCAAAACTGTGTCAATAGTTTAGGCGCATACTTTGATTAACTGTACTGCTTCTTGTTTGAGATATAATAAACTACACTTTTGATTTGAAATCAGACATTTCATATTTAATGACCTAATATGATGCTGTTTCTCTGATAGTCAGGACTCACAGGTCCAGGAATCAAGATGGTGGAAATGGAGTGGCATCACTCACCATTACCCTTAATGACCCACTAACAAAATTTTTGCACCCTGTTCCTGTGACTTTCTGCTCTGCTGGCCTAGAGGTCTTAGTCCCAGGGGAAGGAATGCTTCTGCCAGGAGACACACAACAATGATTCCATTGAACTGGAAGTTAAGACTGCTACCAGGCACTTTGGACTCCTCATGTGTCTGAATCAACAGGCCAAGAAAGCAGGTGCGATGTTGGCTGGGATAATCAATCCTTGCTACTAGGGGGAAATTGGACCACTACCCCACAATGGAGATAAGGAAGAGTATGTCTAGAATACAGGAGATGCCTTAGGACATTTCTTAATATTACCATGCCCTGTGATTAGGTCAATGGAAAACTATTATACAACAACTCAATTCAGGCAGAACTACTAATGGCCCAGACTCTTCAGAACTGAAGGTTTGAGTCACTCCACCAGGTAAAGAACCACACCAGCTGAGGTGCCTGCTGAAGGCAAAGGTAATGTAGAATGGGTAGTGGAACAAAGAAGTTATACCAGCTATGACCATGTGACCAGTGACAGGGACAAGGACTGTTATTGTCATGAGTATTTCCTCCTCATTTTGTTATGAATACACACAAATACATGTATTTCAAATACCTTTGTTTTCTTCTCTTTCTCTTATTCCTTTATTCTGTAACATAAGATGTATTGATTTTACATTATAATATTTAAGTATTGTTAATTTTATATCATAGTATTTAAGTCACAAGATACCAAGGAGAAGAGTAAACATCACCAAGAACTTTATCTCCTCTTCTGGGAAAGGGATTAGTGTGTTTTCAGTTGTATGCAAGATAGTTGTATCATGTTAGACAAAATTATCACATTGTTATTGTCTTTATTTGGAGATTAAGTATGGTTTAAGGAGATGTGCATGGGTGCCAAGTTGAGAAGAGCCTGATTTGTAATGGTTAATTTTATGTGTCAACTTGATTGGGTCATGGGGTGCCCAGTTTTGGTTAAACATTATTTCTGGCTGTCTCTGTGAGGGTGTTTCTGGGCGAGACTGGCATTTGAATTGGTAGACTGAATAAAGCTGATTGCCCTTCCCTGTGTGGGTGAGCCTCATCCAATCCTCTGAGAACCTGAATAGGAAAAAAAACGTGGAAGAAGGGAGAATTTGCTTTCTCTACCTGACTGCATAAGCTGGGACATCAATCTTCTTCTGCCCTCAGACTGGGACTTACACCATCAGCATTCCTGGTTCTCAGGCCTTTGGACTCAGACTGGAGGTACGTTACCAGCTTTCCTGATTCTCCAGCTTGCAGATGGCAGACTGTGGGACTTCTTAGCTTCCATAATCACATGAGGTGATTTTATGAGATAAAAATCTCATAAAATCTCATAAAATCTAATAAAATCTCTCCCTCTCTCTGACTCTCTGTCTCTCCATCTCTCTCTATCTCTGTCTGTCTGTCTGTCTCTTTATATATATATATACACACACACATATTTATTTATACACACATATATACATATTCTATTATTCTATTGGTTCTGTTTCTCTGGACTACTCTATTACACATGGCTAGTTCCTTAACTTTCGGGTCTCAGCTCAAATGGCATTTCCTCAGAGAAGCCTTTCCTATTACTTTCTATCGTGGGGGCTGCAAATCAATGCATCAAGGGTCTAGAGGGTAGTGAGTAGTGAATAAGGCACCTGGTTGGGGATTGTGTGGAACCTGAGAATTCATGCTCTCCCTGAAGAGGGCTGCCACTACTTAGTTCCAGCTAATTTTTGCCATGTAGATATACAGATTGAATGTTGCCAGATTGTCTATCAAGAGAAGGCATAAAAATCTGGATTTGTATGTGCAACTATTCTAATTGTTAAAAACTAGTAATAAATGCAGTTTTAAAAGATACATTAGAAATCAAACAAAACATATCTGAGCCCAATTCATCCCATATACCCCTAGTTTGTAACCTCTGCTCTATTACATCATTCTGTTTACTACTGCCTGAAATTATATAATTTCCTGTCTGTCTCCTTTTCATCAGAGTTTAAACTCCATAAGGAACCTTGCCTGTCTGTTGAATTCTGTATTCTCAATGTTTGGAACAGCGCCTCACTCATAGTAGTCACTTTAAAAATTAGTATTACGGAAGTTCTCAAACATACACTAAAAGCAGAGATAATAGTATAATGAACCCCATGTACCACTACCTAGCTTAAAAAATTATCAATACTGTGCCATTTTGCTTGACCTATTTCCTCCACTGGCTTTTTACTTGATCATTTTAAAGCAAATCCCAAACACTGTGTTACTTCAAACCATAAATATTTCAGTACATATGGACACTTTAAAAAAATTATAACCACTATGATATTATTGCTCTAACAAAATTAACAGTAAATTCTGAATATCATGTGATACCAAGACCACATTAACATTTCCCCAATTGTCATACGGTATGTTAATAAATATTTGTTGAATAAATAAATGATGAACATATGAATATAAATATCTGACAGTACTCTTTACAAAGCTTTGAAACACGATCTTCCTTATTATCATAGAAACATTAGGATGACTTATCAGAAGAGCCTTTGTTTTCAAATTTTAAAAGGTGGAGAATTGGTTCAGCTAGTACTGTTCTAGTCATGCAGATGAAACCTAAGAGTAAAATTCCATAGTGGATATTTACCTAAGAAAAATGAAGATGTATCTTTGCACAAATACTTGTACAAGAATGTTTATAGCAAATTGACTCATAATAGCTAAGCACTGGAAACAAGCCGAATGTGTATCAACCAATGTATGGATAAACAAACTGTGATATATTCATGTAATATTACTTGGCAATAAAAGAAATGAAATACACAACAATATGCATGAATCTCAAAGACATTATGCTGAATAAAAGAAGCTGGACACAACAGTACATACTGTATGATTCCCATTATGTAAAATTCTAGAGGAGGAAAAACTAATTTGCAGTAGAAAACTATACGAATAGTGGTTGTCTGTGGGGAATGAGGTAGGGTGGGGTGGGATTGATTGGAAACGGGGCATAACAGAACTTTCTGGGGTGATGGTAATGTTTACAGGGGTTTTAATTACACAGATGTGTACATTTTCCAAAACACATCAAATTATATACTTAAGATTTGTGCATGTTTTTGTATGTAAATTTTACCAAAAAAGATTGATAAAATATTTAGGTGGATATTTATTGATATTAGATATTTATTTGAAATGCATCAGAAAAATAAGATGACTTCATGGAGGATGAATACAGGGATGGACAGCTGGACAGATATGTGATAAAGCAATATAGTAAAGTAGTAGAATCCAGTGTTGGGTGTACAGGTGTTTACTATATCATTCTTTCAACTTTGATACGTATTTGAAAATTTTTATAATAAAATATTGAGGAAAAAACTCAATAGTGGTTTTCAGAGGATGGGAGGAAAAAAAAGGGCTAATTTGAGAACATATATGACCTTAGCCTTTCTGAGATTTTTGCTGAGCTCCCTCTCTAGCTGACTTTGGATGAACTGACCTCCACTCCCGGTTCTTGTGTAAACTGGTAGCTTCTTGGCCATATCAACAAGCATCTGCTTCTGAACCTCAGGCCTCTCTTCATTTTCATAGCGCTCTTTGTCTGTATAGGACAAGTGGAACTGGAAACACAAGTGATAGGTAAGACTTTATTATCCAAGGTTCACAGAAGAAATTAAAGACAACAATAATAACTACTTAAATGAAAGTATTTGTTACCCATCCTTGAAGCCCAGGCACCAATTTGGCTTATAACTCTCTTGGCCTAATTATCTCAATGATCTTATCTGGCTTTTATCTCATTCGTCATAACTCTATGAGATAGGTGTATTTTACAAACAAAGAAAATAAAACAGAGAGATTAAGTTCCTTATTCAAGGTTACACTCACTCAACTAATAAGAACCAACTCTGGGCCCCAAACCCAATTACTCTGACTTCAAGACTTGTGCCCTTTCCATTAAACCATAATATGATGTTGCACGCAGATACATGATATGTTGCTCCCAGGACCCTGTTGATGATTCACCACGCATATTAAGTTGCGAGTGTTTTTCATAGATGACACTGATGAGAAGCTAGATGAGAGTCCTTGTGACATTGTGTGCATATTCTAATCTTGCAAATGAGTAGAAATTTGGATATTCTCACTATTTGAGAATTTTTGGGCCTCGTCACCCCATTAGTGCCACCCTTTGCTAATCTTGCAAAAGTTATGCCAACACTCTCAACCTAAATTTCTTCATCTGTAAAATAGAGGAAATAATACCTACTTCATAAGATTGGTATAGAAGTGCTGGATAAGAAGTGATTAAAAGACTCCTTTAGAAGTCTCATTTTTGGATCATTTAAAAATATTTGATATTGTAAATCTTTGTAATTTTAACTCTTCTAGTTGGTGTGTAATGGTATCTCATTGTGATTTTATTCTGTATTCCTCTGATTACTAATGATATTGAGCACCTTTTCATGAGCTTATTGGCCATTTGGATATCCTTTTGTGAAATGCCCATTCGAGTCTTTTGTCCATTAAAAAAGAACTGGGTTGTCTTTTTTTGTATTGATTTGTAGGAATTCTTTTTATATTTTGGACACTAGTCTTTTGTTGAATATTTTCTACCAGTCTGTGGCTTTTCTTTTCACTTCCTTAATGGTGCATTTTGAGGGACAGAAGATCTTGGTGGGAATGTAGATTTATATGACCAGTTTGGAAAATTTTGGCATTATCTTTTTTTTTTTTTTTTTTTTTT